ACACAGATCTGTCAGATGTTTCTTCATGATCAGACACAAGTCATGCATTTGTGGTAGGACTATTGCAGAAGTGAAGCTGTACTCTTCCTAGTGCATCATATCAGGAGGCACCACACAATGTTGATCTGCTCCACTGCTTGATCTTGGGCACATGTTTATGTTAGTGTTTACTAGATTTCCAAAGGCTCAATATTTCTTTAAGACCAATTAACATTTGAAAGCAACACTTCTAAGATTTTACGCTAATATCCCGTTTCTCATTGAGTGTTCCACATCAGTATTAGCATTCATTGAGAATTTCCACCTGAATTGACTATCATAATGAGGGTTGCCAAATGGCTGCTTCCTTATTTGCTTTTTTCTGCAGTTATTAGTTGGCACTCTACTATAATAAATTTCTCTTCTCACGTTTCTTTATTATTTATATCAGTATGGATTCATGGATTCCAATTTTAGTTACTGAGTTTTCATTTGATGATATTATTATTTATTGTGATGTGGATATTATCCCAGATTTGACCAGTTTTGGCCCTGTTAAACTGACTTCTCTGTCCTTTTGACATAGCTTCATCACTTACTGTGTATGTTTTTTAGAGATAATGAGATGCTCCAAGTACAATTAGCCATTTCCTAAAGAATCCTTTATTTCTCTTTTATTTATTTATTTATTTATTTATTTATTTTTTGGGTAGGGGGAGACAGAGTCTTGCTCTGTTGCCCAGGCTGGAGTGCAGTGGTGTGATCTCAGCTCACCACAACCTCCACCTCCTGTGTTCAAGTGAGTCTCCTGATTCAGCCTTCCAAGTAGCTGGGACTACAGACGTGCACCACCATGCCCTGCTAAATTTTGTATTTTTAGTAGAGATGGGGTTTCATTATGTTGGCCAGGCTGGTCTCGAACTCCTGACCTTGTTATTCTTCTACCTCGGCCTCCCAAAGTGCTGGGATTACAGGCGTAAGCCACCGTGCTTGGCCCCTTGATTTCTTATAATAAAGGATTATATTTATTAAAATAATGAAACAGTGTTCTGGGTCCCCCGGAGTTAGCCATTTCTTTAAGGACCCTTGATTTCTTTTTCCTTCTTTTCTTTTCTTTTTTTTTTTTTTTTGAGATAAGAGCCTTACTCTGTCACCCAGGCTAGAGTTCAGTGGTACGATTTCCACTCACTGCAACCTCTGCCTCATGAGTTCAAGTGATTCTCCTGCCTCAGCCTCCCAAGTAGCTGGGGTTATAAGCGTATACCACACTTGGCTAATTTTTGTATTTTTAGTAGAGATGGGGTTTTACTTTGTTGGCTAGCCTGGTCTTGAACTCTTGACCTGAAGTGATCCACCTGCCTTGGCCTCCCCAAGTATTGGGGTTATTGGCATGAGCCACCATGCCTGTCTGACCCTTGATTTCTTTTAATGAAGGATACCACTTATTAAAAGAATGAAACAATGATCTGGGTTCTCATGTTCATCATTACTGAGGTGTCATTGCATTGGGAGTTTTTGGTAGAAAGAGCTAGGAAATGTATGTATGTATGCACGTATATAGGTATGTATACAAGCATATGATTGTAACTATTTTTATTTATTTATGTGTGTATGTATGCGTATGTGTCCGTTTTATACCTGACTTGATGCTGATGCTTTTAATTCTAATCCTGTACCTTGGAGTTCTTTTTATTTATTATATATTTTTGGTTTTAGAGACAGGGTCTTACTCTGTTGCCCAGCTTGGAGTGCAGTGGTGCAGTCATGGCTTACTGCAGTCTCGAACTCCTGGATTCAAGTGATCCTCCTGCCTCAGCTGCCCAAGTAGCTGGGACTGCAGACATGTGCCACCACGCCCAGCTAATGTTTTTTATTTTATATAGATGGGGCGTCACTATGTTGCGCAGGCTGGTGTCAAACTCCTGGCCTCAAGTGATCTTCCCACCCCTGCCTCCCAGAATGCTGGAATTATAGGCATGAGCCACTGTGCCCAGTCAAGATTCATTTTAGTCTGCTTCCTTTACATGGTACAAATTCCTTCTCAGATATTAAGAAATGTAGTTTTTAATATTTTCCACTCTTTCCTTTCTTCCCTCTTTTTTCTTTTCTTCCTTTTTTTCTTCCTCTCTTTCTTCCTTTCTTTCTTCCTTCCAAGACATAGGGTCTGGCTATGTTGCCCAGACTGGACTTGAACTTCTGGATTCACATCCTCTCTCCTCCTTAGCCTCCAGGATAGCTGGCATTACAAACACGTGCTACTGCGCCCAGCTGCAATAGTCTTCTAATTGGTCTCCCTGCTTCTTCACTTGCTCCCATATGGTCAATTCCCTATATAAAGCTAGAGAGATTTTTCTAAAACGTAAATCATATGTTTATTCTCTGCTAAAAGTGTGCCAATGGCTTCCCACTAAAGTTAGAAAAAAATCTCTGAAACTAAAGATTAACTGTCTTAAAAGCAAACAGACTATATAACAGGCACATGTCTTAATCTGTTTGTGCTGCTATGACAAAATACCACAGACTGAGCAATCTATAAACAACAGAAATTTATTTCTGACAGTTCTGGAGGCTAAGTCCAAGATCAAGGTACAAGACTGGTGCATGATAAGACCTGCTCCCTGTTTCCAAGAGGGCACCTTGTTGCTATGTCCTCACGTGGCAGAAGGTGGAAAGGCAAAGCTCTCTTCAACCTAGAGCCCTTTTTAATAATGGTTCTAATGCTGTTTAGAATGACAGGACCCTTATGACTTAGTCACTTCCCAAATGCCACATCTCTTAATACTGTTGCATTGGGGATTAAGCTTCAACCTGAATTTTGGAGGGGACATAGTAGCATAGTAGACTTTAAATAAATATTCAATGATTGAAAGAATAAATTAGAATTTCAAAACAAATTAAAAATGAAGAAAGTAAAGGTACACACACTTCCATCTCTGTCACACCCACATTGAAACAGTAGATGCTCTTAGATCTAATATTAGTGTTTTCAGAATCTGATTACTTCACTGTTGCTCTGTTCCTACCACGGATCATGCTCCCATTCGATCTTCGGTATTGCTTATATTTTCACAATAGCTCCCTAACTGTTATTCCAGTTTCTGCCCTTGCCTCCCTTCACTTTATTCTCACAGAGGCCAGAATAATTCTGTTAAAACATGCCAGATCACATCACTTCTCTCTTAAAACCCTTCAGTGGCTTTTCGTTCTACTCTGGGTAAAAGCCAAAGTGCTTTAAATGGCCAGCAGGCCCTGTATTCATTATCTGTTGCTATGTAACGAAGTACTCAAAACTTAGTTGTGTAAAACATACATTTATTGTCTCATAGTTTCTGTGGGTCAGGCATCTGGGCGCAGACTCTCTCGTGAGGCAGCAATCAATTTATCAGCTGGGGCTGTAGTCGTTGAAAGGCCTGACTGAGGGAGGTTCTGATTTCAAGCTACGTTGCCCTGCTGATTACTGGCTGGCGACATCAGTTCTTTGTCATGCGGCCCAATCTACAAGGCTATTTACAACATGGTAGCTTGCTTCCGCCAGAGTGAGGGCTGTGTGTGTGTGAGGGAGAGAAAGACAGATATTCCCTAATGTCCTTTGAGTCTTTATAAAGTTTTTCTTTCTTTTTTCTTTTTTTTTTTTTTCCGAGATGGAGTTTTGCTCTTGTTACCCAGGCTGGAGTGCAATGGCGTGATCTCGGCTCACTGCTACCTCTGCCTCCTGGGTTCAAGCAATTCTCCCGCCTCAGTCTCCTGCGTAGTTGGGATTACAGGCACACGCCACCATGCCTAGCTAATTTTTTGTACTTTTAGTAGAGACGGGGTTTCACCATGTTGACCAAGATAGTCTCGATCTCTTGACCTCGTGATCCACCCGCCTCAGCCTCCCAAAGTGCTGGGATTACAGGCTTGAGCCACCGCGCCCGGCCAGAGTCTTCATGTTTTTCTATGGCATTTATTTGTATCCAATATCTTGTGTGTTTTACTCACTGTCTGTGTCCTCATTTCTCTATCCTTATTACAGCATAAGCTATAATAGAGCAGGACATTTACCTTGTTTTACCCACTATTTTATCTATGGCGATCAGAACAGTGTTAAACACATTCAAAACAAAACTGAATAAATGAAATAACTTCAGAAAAGATTTGAGGAGTCTTAAAACCAGATATCCATCTGCTATGAAACCCTGTAACATACAGAGTTACTGTAGAAGGCTGTAGTGTATTCATGAAACAGAATCCAGAGATTACTGTATAGGAGGAAAAAAATTAGAACAGTCTGACCAAACATACAGCAAACAAACAAAAATTCAACAATGCACAGAGAATAGTATTAGTATTAAATATATGTATATATACATAAACACAAAGACTGTCATACAGACTTTGTCATATACAATTATCTGTAACCACCAATAACCACCACTTTCCAAGTTCAGTTCTTGGTCTTGAAGTCAATAATAGATCTGTACCCTTCATGCCAGCCCTAGAGACCTGGGTTTTCAGGGTAGATGCAGCATTCCTTTCTTCTCTTAGAAATAGATTGCACCCGAAAGGGAAAATGGTCAACCCCACTTTGTTTTTTCCAGATTATGAGCTCCTCCTTAGAAGCCAGTCAAGCATGCTCAGGCGATGGGCTAGAGGCTGCTGAGCTTTCCATGCTGCTAGTGCAGTTTGTGGTCTTGCTGTATTTCATAGTTGCCTCACAGAATTTATTTCCCTGTCAGTCATGGATATCTGTATGAATTGACATCCCAGAGGGTATCTGCCAAGTCTCTGGAAATGCTAATGGCCATGCTGATTAGGTTGGACAATGTGAACTTGTTTTGGGCATCAGTCCATTGAGGTACAAGCTTCTCATGATGGAAAAGGGGGCTTCCTGAAGAGAATTAGATAGCATGCTCAAACTGCTAAGAACAGTGATGTCAAAACTCCTGCTAAACCCCAGGTTCTTTTAGAAAGTTTCCTCATATTGTCGGCTTAGGCTATGGTTTGGGCCGTGAGACTTCATCTTCCTTTTTCTTCTGCAGGTTCACTGACTTTCCAGGACTTTTTAGGAAGAAAGCTGCAAGTGGAGTCTGAGGTCTGTCATTTCTATAGAAGCAGCTGGAGATATTGGGAAAATGGGCCAGGACTGTGGCTTCTCCAGACAGCGACAAAGCAAGACATGAATCTTCCTCTGCTCCAAATCTTAGCCCCTCACAGGTCCCTGCCCAAATAACAAATGCATAAATTCTTTTTTTCACTTCTGCTATTGCTTCTGCCTCAATTGTTTTTCTTTTATAAACTTCCAAGATCCTATTGGTCAGCATCCAGTTTACTTAATTATGCAATTCAGTTATGTTGTATCACCTAGGAAAAGTACATATAAGACTGTCTAAAAATAAAAGACTAGTGACAATAAATATTGTTTGCCCAACAGAGGCCAATTGATGGATACATTTCCTCTTTAAATCATATGCAATTCATCCTGGAATGCTTTTCTCATAGAAAATACTCATTTCTTTCATATCTAAACCATAGCTAAAGTGGTAGATTCCCATGCTTTTCTTCCTGTCTCCTTTTTCTTTTTTGCAGCTCCTGGCCACAGTGGGAGCCATGATCTCTCTCCTTTACATCTGGCTGTATTCCCAGAGCTTTCATTTCCAGGTGGCACATTTTTATGCTCATTTTGGGTACCCAGTGCTCAGTATGTTGTTGGACAAAGATACCTCAAAGGTAAAGTAACTTTGTTTCTCAAGTGCCATTTACTTGGGGAAAAGAGGTAGGGAGAGGTTTGCTGGTTAGAGTTCTAAGAGTAATGGCAAAAACCACAATTAACTCTTCACCAAACTCATTTATCTGTAGGCTTATAGGTTTTAGCATTAAGCAGTTAACTGAGTCATTTAAAAAAATATATATTATCTTTTGTTTACCTAGGAACTGGTGCAGTGAAGGATGAAGAGAAGGCAATGCATTGGTTTAGGTCAGACAATGACATCTGCCAAAAAGCAAAACTCCAGAGTCACCTGTTCAGAAAGTACAGGTTGAGTATCCCTTATCTGAGATGCTTGAGACCAGAAGTGTTTTGGATCTTGGATTTTTAAAAAATTTGAAATATTTGTATTATACTAACTGGTTGAGCATCCCTAACCTGAAAATCTAGAATCTGAAATGCTCCAGTGAGATTTTTCTTTGAGTGTCATGTTGGTGCTCCAAAAGTTTCAGTTTTTGGAGCATTTCAAATTTCAGATTTTCTGATTAAGCATGCTCAACCTATGCTGAAATAGAAAATGTTATGATTTTGGTGCTTTTTCCCTAGAGCAAAAATAAGCTAGAGACCTAAATTCTCTTACTATTAAAGTCTTGCTGGCCGCGGGGTGGCTCACGCCTGTAATCCCAGTACTTTGGGAGGCTGAGGCGGGTAGATCACGAGGTCAAGAGATCGAGACCATCCTGGTCAACATGGCGAAACCCCATCTCTACTAAAGATACAAAAAAATAGCTGGGTATGGTGGCGCGTGCCTGTAATCCCAGCTACTCAGGAGACTGAGGCAGGAGAATTGCCTGAACCCAGGAGGCGGAGGTTGCAGTGAGCCGAGATGGCGCCATTGCACTCCAGCCTGGGTAACAAGAGCGAAACTCCGTCTCAAAAAACCAAAACGAAACAACAACAACAACAAAATATATTAAAGTCTTGGTACCTTCTTTATTTTTTCCACTTGGTGATGAGGTAGGAGTAGTGGTGGCGCTGTGGAGAGGGTGGGGCCAATGCATTTTACCACAGTCTATACAGTGTAAGCAAACAGCAGATTCAATTCAAAGAAGCGAAACTGGGGAACGTGGACCAATCTAGGTCAAGATTCAGAATGTCAGCAATTTTATTAACAATGCTCTGTGTTAGCATTACTTTGGTTTTGAGCTCTTGACTATAAAACATACACATATTTGAAATTTACAAACTGGGCTATGTATTAGAATCACCTGGGGAGCTTCTGAAAAATACTGATGCCTGGTTCCAGATTGATTTAAATGAGCAGAAAAAGATCCCCAGGTGAGTGTAATATGCTGCCAGGTCAAACTACTCCAGAAGTCTATATTGGTTAAGGAAGTAAACATGAACCAGCAGAAGTAGGCATTTCAGGAACATATTCTAAAGCTTAAAATCAATATTCTGATAAAGTTCACCTGACAACAGAAGAAACACCTTTGAGAATCAGGAAGGAAGTGACGTGGTTCCAAAGTGGCAAAGTGTTGTTGGTAATTAACTACAGTTGGCTGATACTCTTGCCACTGGGAGTGTAGTCCATACATCAACAGCATTGGCATCACCAGGTGGGCACTTGGTAGAAATGCAGCCTCTGAGGCCCTAGCGCAGACCCACTGAATAGCATCTTCATATCCTGGGGTGACAGGTATGTGCTGTCTAATATTGTAGCCAACAGCCACAATATGGCCATATAAATGTAAATGAATTAAAATTCAATAAAGTTAAACTTTTAGTTCATAGTTACACTGTGTACATTTCAAGTATTCAATAACCAGTAGTGGCTACTCTATTGGACAGTGCAAATATAGATCGATTCTATCTTTGGCATAAATTCTATTGAAAAGTACTGGCAATTTATATTTATATTTCAGCAACTGGAAATCATGCTTAAGGGTCAAGTTACATGTTATTGAATTTCTAACATTCTCAGATAGTCCTTTTCAGCACTTTGATTGCCCGTATATTTTGAAGAAAAGAGCATAATTACATCAATATTTAGAAAAGCTGATGAATGGATTTGGAATAAATATGCAATTAGTTTTTTTAAAGTACTGTACTTGTTTCAAGTAAGAAAAACTTTTTTTGTTGTTTTTGTTTTTAAGACAGTCTTCCTCTGTCACCCAGGGTGGAGTGCACTGGCATGATGTCAGCTCACTACAACCTCGTCCTCCTGGGTTCAAGTGATCCTCAGCCCCCCAAGTAGCTGGGATTATAGACATGCACCACCATGCTGGGCTAATGTTTTTTGTATTTTTAGTAGAGACTGCAGGGGGCGGGAAGGGGTGGTTACTCAAGGTTCTCCAGAGGGACAGATCTAATAAGATAGATATTTATATATAAAGGGGAGGAGTTATTAAGTAATATTAACTCAAACAATCACAAGGTCGCACAATAGGCCACTGTAAGCTGAGAAGAAAGGAAGCAGTCTGAGTCCTCAAGCTGAAGAACTTGGAGTCTGATGTTCAAGGGCAGGAAGCATCCAGCCTGGGAGAAGGATGTACCCTGGGACGCCAAGCCAATCTAGCCTTTTCATGTTCTTCTTTCTGCTTTATCCTGCCTATACTGGCATCTGATTAGATTGTGCCCACTAAGATTAAGGGTGGTTCTCCCTTTCCCAGCCCACTGACCAAATGTTAATCTCCTCTGGCAGCACCCTCACTGTCATACCCAGGATCAATTCTCTGCATCCCTTAATCCAATCAAGTTGACACTCAGTATGACTCCTTGACACTCAAGTTGACCCCTTGTCAACTTGAACCCATATACATCTCCTGAGATCATACATAATCCTCAAATAAAAGCAATAATAAGGTCATGATTACACCTAACATAATGCAACTATCCTTGGTACAACTGGAAATGCAGCAATCCCCAAAATCAAGTTAATAATATTTAAATGCGGATATGAAGTAAATAAATCTTATGTCACATGATAAAGGAAAAAGGAAATAAAATGAAGTTATTTTCTTAGTACAAGTGTATATATACACACACATGATGTTTTTAACAAAAGAAGGAGAAAACACTCATGACAATTCTAGTCACCATTTCTGCAACTGGTTGCATAGTCATAGCTGGCATCAATGATAACCTTCTTCTACGCTTCTGTTTACCCTTTGCCTTCAGCAAGCACCTTGGCAGGCCGTGCTTTTTTTCTGGTGGAGTGACCCAGATCTTCATTCAGCATGGTCTGGGCCAACTGCCTGGATTGGGCTGTTGTAGTTTCCCATTGACCTTAATCACAGGGCGTGGTAATACTAAAAGACACCCTAAGGGATCTCCTGAATTCCTTGCATACTCTTCCTTACTTCTGTTGTGGACTAGTAGACTGATTTCATCTTGATAGTCCGGGTCAATCACCCCAGCCAACACTGTAACTCCCTTCTTAGCCTGGTGACTTAAAGGTAGGAGGAACCCAAAGTGTCCAGGTGGCAGTCTTAACTTCTAGTTTAATGGAATCGTTGTTGTGCCTCCTGGTGGCACCATTCCTCCTTCTGGAATTAAGACCTCTAGGTCAGCAGAACGTAATGTCATGGAAACTAAGCAAAAATTTTGCTAGTGGATCACTAGGGCTAATGGCAAGTGCTGCCACTTCCCCCCTCTTAATTCCTAGACCCATTAATCCTGGCTATGGGAGAAACAGTACCATGTATTGGATGCTGATTCGGAGCATACACGGCCTTTTGGAGAACTTTTCCTCAGCCCTGAAAAGTATTGTCACCTAGTTGGCATTGTAATTGTGACTTTGAAAGGTCATTCCACCGTTCTGTCAATCCAGTTGCTTCAGGATGATGGGGAACATGGTAAGACCAGTGAATTCTATGAGCATAAGCCCACTGCTGCACTTCTTCAGTCATAAAGCAAGTGCCTTGACCGGAGGCAATGCTGTGTGGAATATCGTAACAGTGGGTAAGGCATTCTGAGAGTCCATGAATGGTGTCTTGGCAGAAGCACTGCATGCAGGATAGAAAACCCATGTCTGGAGTAAGTGTCTATTCCAGTGAGGACAAACCTTTTCCCTTTCCATGATGGAAGTTTCCAATATAATCAACCTGCTACCAGGTAGCTGACCGATCACCCTGAGAAATAGTGCCATATCGGGGCTCAGTGTCAGCCTCTGCTGCTGGCAATTTAGGCACTCAGCAGTGGCCATAGCCAGGTCAGCCTTAGTGAGCGAAGGTCTATGTTGCTGTGCCCATGTCTAACCTCCATCCCTGCCACCATGGCCACTTTGTTCATGGGCCTATTGGGCAATGACAGGGGTGGCTAGGGAAAGAGGCTGAGTGGTGTCCGCAGAGTGGGTCATCTTATCCACTTAATTATTAAACTCCTCCTCTGCTGAGGTTACCTGTAGGTAAGCACTCATGGGATACAAATATCTTCACAGTTTTTGACCACTTACCTCTATCCACATACCTCTTCTATCCACATGCCTCTTCCCCAAATTTGTCACCAATTTTCCAATCATGCTTCTTCTAAGTCCCTTACCATCTAGCCAAACCACTGGT